TGTTGGCGAGGGCGGTGGGGGTGGCGAGTACACTCCACAGACCGGCTTCGGATGGAGCAACGGTGTGGCCATGGTACTGTTCCTGGGCCTGGCTACGGGGGGAGCTTTCAGATAGGATTAAAACCATGAACCAGTAGAGAACATCAAAATGCATAAGTTATGGATAGTTATGTCAATTATGGATTACTCATTGTGAAGTTTTCCCCCCATCTTTCCTTAATCTCCAATCTCGATCTAGCTCCAAATATGTGTTGGTGCTACATTCAGACCTTAACTGAAGTAAGAACAGTTCATTCCTCTTTTGGGTTGGTCCAACAATAGAGTCTACCCCAAATTTGCTGGCTATTTAGCATATGTTCGGTTATTTTCATGTGAAATGTGCCAATGAAAGGCGTCCCCCATTTTGAGACCTAGCCCATCCTTTGATGCCTTACAAAGACCCAACGTTTGCGAATCCCCGCGTCCCAGGTTGGCGAAGAACGGCAACCGTTCAGCGCCATTCGTGCCGCCACAGCGCATGATTTTGGCGTAGAAAAGACGGGGTGGGCGCAGCGTTGGTTTGGAGAATTTACCAAACAGAAGATCAGAAGGAAGTCTTGAAATTTAACATACCATTTGGTTATTTAACATAGCCATGGAAAATCACAATTTTTAATAGGTAAACCATCTATGTGACGAGGCCGGATAGCCACAGTTCCTGTAACCCCACCCCACGCATCTACAAGAAAATGACTACAGTTATGGGCTCTGGTTGTTTTCTCACAGGCTGTTTTCTATGTTTTGGTGTCATTTTCTAAGATCCTCAAAAGACACCAATACAAAAATTGTGACCGGCATCTTATTTTCCTTTCTGCAGCCTAGTGCACCAAAAATCCCAACAACCAAATAATAAAAACAACCATTGAAAGGCGTTCACGGAGATACTATGCACTTACTGAGTATTCTAGCAGGGGGATTACCGATTTTTTTTGTGCAGGCGTTGCCCTGCGCTGCTTCGTGGGCAATGGCAACATCAAACCAGAGGCTGGGCCAGATTTGAAACCAATTTTTGACTGACGGTGCGATGCATTGATCTTCTGACTTTCTGTCTGACTTGTGCATGGACATCATGGACCATTTCACGTGCGAAGTGTCTGTAGTGTACAGTAGTTTTGCTTGGCAGGAGCCGTTGCAGGAGCTGTGTGATGAGCTGTTGGGACTTCCGCGTTGCGCTGGCTCAAGCATCGTTGTAACTGCGGCTCCATAAGCGACGTGCGAGACATAGAGTACATATTTTAGAGTTTTCTCCCTTCAGCGATTAGGCCAATGAAGCTGCTGCGGGTGCTCCTGTGCCTGGTGCGCCTGGCAATGCCTGAGGAGGCTTCCAAGGAGGGATTGTGCGCGTCTGGAGCTTGTGATTTGCCGCAGGCTGCCGATGAATTTGCCGCCCTCCAAGTGAAGAAAGAGGCCGAAAGTCAAGCTGATCCCAAGAAGGTGGATGACACACTACTACCCAAACATCACAACGGATTTTCTACAAGATGGCAAGGATCTACAAGGCAATGAAGGGATCCCATTCAAAATTTGGAAGTTCAAAAAAATCAAAGAAGCATTGGAGGGTCGTCGTCGCCACCCTACCAGTACCACTACCACTACCACTACCACTACCGCCACCACCACCACCACTACTTCTACTACCACTACCGCCACCACCACCACCACTACTTCTACTACCACTACCGCCACCACCACCACCACCACCACCAGTACTTCTACTACTCGTACCACCACCGCCACCACCACTACCACTACTACTTCTACTACCACCACCACCACTACCTATACCAGTACCACTACCACTACCACTACCACTACCAGCACCACCGCTACTACTTCTACTTTTAGTACTACTACTTCTTGCTCCGCTGGCGATTTCACCTTTACCTTCGAGAATCTCAATGAAACAGGTAATGGCAACTCCCCTGGACGTGTCACAGGTTGCATCGGCGGGCTGTCACCTTGTTCTGCAAACCGGTTTGGTGTGGCTACATCAGTTCGTGTTGTCAGCAACACGGCCGGATACGGTCTTGGGGAGTATGTGGGCAGCACCCGCACCCTAATAAATCAATGGATCGTGAATGCAACATGTGAACTTGAGTCCTTCGATTTTCGGAACGAAGGAGATAACGCCCCGGCGAACGGGAGCATTGATTTCTTAAATTTCAATACGAGACGCTGTGCTTCGCTTTCTACATTCTCCAACCAAGTTGTGCCTATTTGCTCGAGTGAGGTTAATTTGACATTCAAGTACAATCCTTGAGGAGTCTGTGAGAGGCCAATTTTTGAAGCCTGCCGCAGCAATCTGCAGACTCACAAAGTGAAAACACATATTGCTGATGCACCCTGCTGGTCGTTTTGATTCATCTTGGGAGAGATTTCTCATGATTTATCAGTTTGACCCCGAATTTCAATGCCATCAGCCTTGATGTTTCAGTGCCATTCATTGCATCCGCCCTGCTGCCAGGTGAGAGAGAGCACAACAGCTGCCTTTCAGCAGAGAATGGAACTGCTGTCTTGGTGTTCTGCTCCTCTCCCACACAGGGGTTGTGAAAAGCCTCATAACCTCGACTTTTCGTGCCCAAATTCCTAAGATCTCTGGCAATTTCACCTTGGGATATTGTTTTGTCAAGCTTTTTGGAGATGACAACGCGTGAATTCTAACGAAAGAATACGAAAGAAAATATCGCTACCGATCCTGCCACATATCTTGCAACAGATCGCTTCATTTTTGGGAGGAGTCGGGAGCACATTATTTTTGCAGCTTGAAGATGATTGAAGTGGATATTATTGTTGCCATTTTCTTTTGCTTCAATATATAACCTTTGGTTGGGAGCCACTAAAATCTTGCCCTAATCCAACAATTCATCAATTTCTCGCGAGTTCATAGCCAAACAACTCCCACAAAGGACATGTTTCCTATGTCATTTCCTCACAACAGGTTTGAAAAAGACAAGTCGCGGAAAATAGAAATGGTACTGGTATGTTTAAAAAATCGTGGAATGTGTAACCACAAAAAAAAGGCAAAAGGTGCTTGCGGGAGTGTTCGTTACCCTTTTTCCATTTATTGATGATTTTCACTTCGAGCGCAAGGATTTAAACAGCCACATGTATCAACTTCGACCGGAGTGGGGTTGTTTTTGAATCGTTGATGAACCTCCAGAAAGGCCCTAATGCACGACCCACAGGTTGGGGCAGAGCCGAAAAATACCCCAAGTTGTCGGGACTCCTGAGATGTGACGCCTGAGTTCCATGGGAGGTATAGCCCACGAATCTATGTGGCTTATCTTCATGGTTGCTACGCTTACAATGCCTGGGATGCACATCCAAGTTCATGGTGGTTCATTGATGTTCATTGATGTTCATTGATGTTCACTGTGGTCTACAATCGAAACAAATGTGATCTTGGTCAGCATTCAAACATGTGATGACTTTGGAGTGGTGCAGTAAGTTGTACACTCTGTTATGACTATAAATGGGCCATCTATACCATGGCTATGTTAAATAAGCAGAGGCTAATTTTATCTAACATTCATTCAAGGATATTCAAGGTCATTGAGCCATGAGGCTTTCATTGAGCCGTGAAAGGCCGGAGATACCGTGAAATCAAACCCCGAAGCCTTCACTGGGAACTCGGCCATGCCATTTGCGGCCAATTCTTATTGGTTTGTGTGTGTGGTGGTTCACCATGTTTTTCGATCCAGGCATGTTCAAAAACACATTTAAGTGAAGGAAACCAATATGTCACAACATTTTGGTGGTCAAAACCCTGGTACACTAGGTACACTAAAGTAGCTGGTTCATGGATGGTTATTCCCCCCAACTATGGTACTTTCATAGGTTTTGATCCATCCCGATATGATGAAGTTCCGTAGCTCCAATCCTTTTGCGTAGCAGTTTTTTTCTTGAACCTCCATTGGTTGTTGGTGATATATATATATGTAGATATTTTTTTCCACCAACATGTACCCACCCCATGGACTAGTCATGTACTTTGTTGGCGGTTTCAATTAGTCATTGTGTTTCAACCGTAAAAAAGGATACGCTGGAGGGATGATTGGTTGAAATTACGGGATGATTACAGACCCCAGACAATCAGTAGGTGATCGGAATACATGGATCAGTGGATTTTTATCAATGTGTACACATATGTAAATCTATGGGGTTCGTTATATACAGCTGTTGGTTATATATATATTATATTATTTATCATACATTAATGATGAAGATATATATATATGCGTATTATATATTAAATTATGTCTTGTTATACATATATATCCTATTATACCATCGTTCTGGTTGGTTTCATACCACCCAGTTTTGTTGATTCAATCACCATTTGTAATCATGGTCCCAACGTATGCCCCCGGTTTTTACATTTTTTAGTTATTTTATTCCATAAGATATCCCATGTATAGTGATCGCTTCACTTATTTGGATAAATTGTTTTCTGACCGATGCCTGTGACACCACTAGAAATGATGGTTTCATGGTTTCATGGGGGGTAACGTAACTTCCCCAAAGAACCCAGTAACCCAGTATATGAATGCGGATGTAGACGATCCAGATGATCCAGATTTATAGCTTTTTTGTCAGTTACAAACGGGTTGGTTTCCCAAGGGATCCCAAGGGTAAACCATAGGCATTGCACATCTATCTTAGTGAAATACCCCAGGGTACCACGGGGTAAAAACAATATCTTTAACATATTGCACTGGTTCTAAATCATATCATCATATCACTTATTCAATGTTAATCCATATTCAGTCCACTTAGGTTGCTAAATCCAATCACTTATTCAACGTGAATCATATCCCCAATTTTCTCCAGTTGTATCACCTCAAGTCCTTCGATTTCAGAGTCCCGTCTAGGCCAAGCCTGGATGTGTCGATGTGGAGACATTTCGAGTGGAAAAAGAAATTGAAAGCTACGTGTGTTCCGGTGATTTAAGGCTGATTCCATGGGATTTCATGGTGATTTCATGGTGGTTTATGGATGATTTAATGATATTTAATGGATGATTTTGGGAGATTTAGTGAGATTTTATTTTTTCCCAAGATGACTTGATGGGATTTGAAGAAGGGTCTTCTGGATCCATGGCACGGGGAAAATCTGGATCGCCAGGCATGTCTTCTAAATCCAAAGGCTTTTGAGTTGAGCATGGGTCAATTTTTCTTATAGTGAACCAGGTTGTTTCCTGGAATAGGGGCTATCCAACCATATGGAGGTCCAACTAAACCATGGCTTGGTGCGGTGGCAAGCGAGCATGCTGGTAGAATGCCTGTTGGATTTGAGTCAAGATACTGGGTGTGTCGTTGCTTTTAAGCGGTTGGTTAGAACATGTTAGAATAATATGTGTTTTTATTTGCTGTATTGTGGATTAGCAATCTCGTTTTCAGTGGCACCAGTCTTCCCTTCTTCATTTATCTGAAGCATGTTTGCTAAACTTTGCTAGACACAATGACAATATTGCCTTGCTTGAAGTTCAAGGCCATGGGGGTCACACTTATTGCCTCCTGATGGAATGTGATGGATGTCTTGTTGGGCTCCCATGATAATGGGATAACACCTGGCCTGAAGACTCTAAGAAGGCCACCTCTCGCTGCTTTTCGGCACAGCCACGCGTTCGGCTGTTCCACTCAGTTGCTGCGGTCCGGGTCTTGGAACCTGTGGGAATACATGGAATGTCACCATTTTGAATAGGAGATGTGTCGCACTAAATATGATTTTAAAAAAATATATATGTATACATACGTACGTACATACATACATACAGACAAAGACAGACAGACAGACACAGACAGAGACAGAGACAGAGACAGACACAGACAGACACAGACAGAGACAGACAGAGACAGACAGAGACAGACAGAGACAGACAGAGACAGACAGAGACAGACAGAGACAGACAGAGACAGACAGAGACAGACAGAGACAGACAGAGACAGACAGAGACAGACAGAGACAGACAGAGACAGACAGAGACAGACAGAGACAGACAGAGACAGACAGAGACAGACAGAGACAGACAGAGACAGACAGAGACAGACAGAGACAGACAGAGACAGACAGAGACAGACAGAGACAGACAGACAGACAGACAGACACAGACAGACAGAGACAGACAGACAGACAGACAGACACAGACAGACACAGACAGACACAGACAGACACAGACAGACACAGACAGACACAGACAGACACAGACAGACACAGACAGACACAGACAGACAGAGAGACAGAGAGACAGAGAGACAGAGAGACAGAGAGACAGAGACAGAGAGACAGAGAGACAGAGAGACAGAGACAGACAGACATACATATATACATATACATATATATATATACATATTTATATACATATACATATATATACATATATATATATATATACATAATATACATATATATATATATATACATATCTATATATACATGATTTTATGCTATATTGACTATCGTCAAACGGGGGAGGTCGGTAATGTTTCATGAAATTCGGCTGATTCTCAAGACACCATGGCTGATGGTGGTTTGTTTGTTTGGCTTTGTCCAAATTGGGTACCTACATTCAAATCCATGGTTGTGTCATTATTGTCGTGTTAAAATCGCCACTTGATAGGGGCCTATCCTCCATTTTTGGACAAATCCACGTCATACTCTTGGCTGAATATCCTTTGTTATCCCATTACAATCCATGATGGTCCATGAATGACATCTCCTTACCATGCTTCAGAATCTGAATCCTCCGATTTCTGGATGGGCCCCCAAAACCAGTTCATTTTTTTTTGGGTCAGTTCAATAGGGAATCAGCACAGACTTTGCCAACTCAGACGTGAGGGATACCTCAACGCCTGGAATCAGAGGCTTTTTGACCTGAGATTCGCCGAATTTTTTTAGGCCCCTTTTGATGGACTTTCACCATATTTTAATGTTTGAACCATGATGTTATTTAAAAATATGGCCAAAAATATGTCACCAATTTGGGTTTGAACCATGATTTTATTTTAAAAATATGGCCAAAAATATGGCCAATTGGAGGTTGACTCAGTACTCCGATGTTATCCCACATCCCATATTATCCCACTATATCCCCCATTTATTGATAGTTAAATCCATGGTGAACGACCCATAGCTCTAGGTGGATGATCCGATCATCGAACTATCTCCTTGATGCCGGGGACCAAAAATGGCGGCTGAAGTGAACACTCAATGGATTGGTTTAAGGGAAAACATTACAGGAAAACACCATATCGAATGGGAAAATCTATTGTTTATCATCATTTGTCATAATTCATCATCATTTATCATGATTTATCACATATGTGCACATGCTTTCACCTCTATCTCTTCTGGTTGAAATGGATGAAACCACCAAAAGTCGATGATTTGGGTCCGAAAAGACCGAAAAAATCGGTCAATGTATTCATATGTATTCCAATTTTCATAGGACACAATTATGCGAACATAATTGTTTCGCTTGGTGGATTGGTGGTATGTTGCTGTTGGACCAAGTCATGACCAAGAATGTGCAACTTCCTGAGTCTTTATTACCCTACTCTTGATCCAGAAGTCCATGAAATTGCTATGGAATTACTCTTCATACAGTACCCTCTGCTTATTTAACATAACCATGGTATAGATGGCCCTAATCGAAATAGATGGTTTACCAAACTTAAACATGCCTGGTTATTTAACATAGCCATGGAAAAACCCTTCTGAATGGAGGTATCTAGCTGGGAAAATCATCTATAAATGGGTCATCTATACCATGGCAAACTGTGAATGTCATAACCAGATGGTAATGTCTGGGTGGTCTGGGAAATGATCCATGTCGTTTCAGTCCGTTTCAAGGCGACCAACTGGTGGTCAATCAAGAACTCATTGGTGAAATCCATAACAAGACATGATGAATAGTGGTGGTTAATGGTGGTTAATGGTGGTTGATAGTGGTTAATAGTGGTTAATAATGGTTAATAATGGTTAATGAGATAACTGCTTGGTGGTTTGGAACATGGATGGACTATGACTTTCCAGAAACAGTTGGGAATTTCATCATCACTGACAATTTGTCCATGATTTTGCAGAGGGGTAGGTTGAAACCACCAACCAGTTGCCATAGCTTCAACCTCTTCAACTGGACGGGATGAAGATTTTTCTGCCATGAAGCTCTCATGTGGACATCTCCGGACGACGTCTAAATTGTGCCGAGGCAGGACCATGACGTCCCCAAAGCCTTCAAGGCTACTGAGATATGGGGATGGGTCAAGTGACCCACGAAATGTCCATATGGGGGAATCAACATCCGATCCCAGCTATGACTAGACCCCTTAGTTGGGGAATCCTGTTCATAATACGATGGCCATACTCAATTTCATGTGGGCTATCACCCATACAGGTATGTGACTATGTGTACTGTAGACCAGACACATATGTAACTGGACCATGGCACACATTTTTCCCCACATCTTTGTGTGGGGTTCTTGTTTTTGGTTCTGTATCCCGCCTCCGCCTCCTCCCGCTCCCGCTCCCGCCGCTTGTCCTCCCACAACTTGTCCACACACAACTTGTCCTGACACAACCTTGCTCACACACAACTTGCTCACACACAACTTGTCCTCACACAACTTGCTCACACACTACTTACCTTGTCCACACACAACTTGCTCCACACACAACTTGTCCTCACACAACTTGCTCACACACAACTTGCTCACACACAACTTGCCCACACAAACCTTGCTCACACACAACTTGTCCACACACAACTTGTCCTCACACAACTTGTCCGCTCACAACTACTTGTCCAGACACAACTTGCCTTGCTCACACACAACTCAACTCACACACAACTTCCTCACATATCACACATACAACTTGTCATCATATAACTTGCTCACACACAACTCAGCTCACACACACAACTTGCTCACATATCACACATACAACTTGTCATCATATAACTTGCTCACACACAACTCAACTCACACACAACTTGCTCACATGCAACTCAACTCACACAACTTGTCGTCACACAACTTGCCTTACTCATACATTACTCTCACACACACACGTGTCATCACACAACTTGTCCACACACAACTTGTTCACACACAATTTCCTCACACACAACTTGTCCACGCACAACTTGCTCACACACAACTTGTCCTTCCTGACATCCACCTTCGTGACAGGCGTTGCACTTGGCGACATCCACCTTCGTTTCACGTGGCAGGCGAGGCACTTGGCCACATCCACATTCGTTTCACGTGGCAGGCGTGGCACTTACGGCACTGGGCGGGCTCTGGTGGCGCACCGGGTTCTCAGCTGACGCCGTGGACGCCGCGGCTCTTTGCGTGGCAGGCGTGGCACTTGGCCACATCCACTTTCGTTTCACGTGGCAGGCGTGGCACTTGGAGACATCTACCTTCGTTTTGCGTGGCAGGCATGGTGGCACTTGGTGACATCCACCTTCTTTCACACACCATCTTTCACACACCACTTTGTCACCCACCATCTTGGACACACCATCTTTCACACACACAACTTTGTCACACCCCATCTTTGACACACCACTTTGTCACACACACCATCTTTCAGACACCATCTTTGACACACCCTCTTTCACACACCATCTTTGTCACACACCATCTTTCATACACCACCTTTCACACACCGTCTTTCGCGCCCAACTTTGTCACACACACCATCTTTCACACAGCACTTTGTCACCCACCATCTTTCAAACACCATCTTTCACACCACTTTGTCACACACTATCTTTCACACACCACTTTGTCGTCACACACCATCTTTCACACACAACCTTTGACACACCATCTTTCACACACCGTCACAGACCCATCTTTCACACACCACTTTGTCAACTTTGTCACACACCATCCTTCACCACACCATCTTTCACACACCACTTTGTCACCCACCATCTTTCGCCACACCATCTTTCACACACCACTTTGTCACACACCATCTTTCACACACAACTTTGTCACACACCATTTTTCACACACAACTTTGTCACACGCTCTCTTTCACACACAACTTTGTCACACACACCATTTTTCCCATACAACTTTGTCACACACACACACAACTTTGTTTTACTTCTCGATCCTCCACCACCTCCTTTGTCTTTCCTTCCTTCCCCGTCCCCGCTACAACACTTGGTGCTCATTGTTGGAAGAAGTTGCTTTTTGGGGTTATCCGGTCCTTTAATTTTGGTAGTTTGGTAGTGTTGCCCCAAGCTGTCACCACCTGTCAAACGCGCTTGAAGAGAACAACATCTTGGAGCCATCTGAGTTTGTAGTACTGCAAGTCACTAGCTTGGTAATTGAATAACGAAGCATATTTGTTTCATTGGAAAATCGGCACATCACGGCACATCTATGTTCTAAACTGTCCACCAAATTTCGTTAGGACCGGACTAAACAGGAAGAAACATAGGTAAGTCTGAGATTTTATAATCATCCATGTTGGATTCCCAGAGAGTAGGTCCAGCCTTCGAAAACTTACCCGGTCCCTGCCTGTTCGGACGCAAGGGCTTGAAGACGACCACAGGTGCCGAGGGCGTTTTCGGAGGAATATCTGTCTGCAAAACTGGGTCATGCTTGGCGCCAACAAAGTATGTAAATGTTATACCATATATATATATACATACATATATATATATTTATATATACATATCCGCGTATTATAGTTATTACAATATATATATATGGTCTCGTGTTCCGTGTTCCTACCCCCCAATGGTATGGGTCCCCAGGTTGCACCCCCTTCCCTTCTATTTGCAAGCTATTGGCAGCATTTCTGAGGTCCACCCTCGTATTTGCTAGGTCTTTGCTGCATTTCTGACTACCAGCCTCGCATTTACTAGGTACATGCTACCTTTTAGACGACCTACGTAGCACACATACTCCCTCAAAGTACCTACGTGCTACCTATAGTCATATATACATGTGCCATGTATCTTCCTCATATATATATATACATACATATATAAAAATATATACATGTTTTAGATGCATATATATATATTATTTACACATACACACTTATATACATATGTATAAATATATATATATATATACATATATTTGTATACACTACACACGTACATATATATATACATATATGTATATATATTTATTTAAATACACATATATATATACACACATATTTTCATATACATATATATATAAATATACATATATACATATATATATATATATTATATATATATGCGCAGTACCACACCCCCACCACACCACAGGGGGGAGGGGGGGCAGTACCACACCCCCACCACACCACAGGGAGGGGAGGGGGACACTACCACACCCCGACCACACCAATAGAGGGGAGGGAAGGCACAGTACTATGGCTGACCCATGACCATCGCCGGGGGGGGAGGGGGGTTGGAACGCTGGACCATATATACCCAATATACACCATACATAGAGCATACATGGTTTTGGGGATTGTTCATGAAATTGGGTGATTCCCACATTACAACCTTTGGGTAACCTTTTTGGTGAAAGAAATGTCCGTGAAGCATCAGATTCGCACAAAAAGGTGGCCTTAGATCCATTCATTCGCCGAACATGGCAATACATTTTTTTTCGTCCCATGTGCCGAACATTTCCTGATTATCTGGTTGGTGGTTTCAAACATGTTTTATTTTCCACAATATATGGGATGTCATCCTTCCCATTGACGAACTCATATTTTTCCAGATGGTTATTGAGTTTCTCATTTTTGTCCGTCACATGTGGATGTGGATCAAAACCCATGAAATACCGTAGATATCGCGGGATGAATAGCCACAAATCCCAGCTATTTCGATCGTCTGGCTTGCCATGACGGTGCCGTTTCCATTGCCAGGTTCGATTGCCAGAGGATATGTCTCATTCATGTTCAGGTAATTTAAAGTTGCTATAGAATTATGATCCCTTATCATGTCCCAACCATTTTTGGTAACCAGTTATACGTAACTACTGAAAAATAGAAAAATAGTTGTTTAACTCTGCAATACTATAACGCCATCATTGATTGTTGTTCAGTTTATGCAAGTTGTATCAGCTACTGCACGGAAATAAACTGATATATCATAAATAGACACAATTCTACAAGTACTTCAGGCAAAATATTATCACTAATCATCTATTTATATTACTTCAGGCAACATATGATCACTAATCATTACAATCATTCAATAAGTTCTATAATTACTTCAGGTTAGATATGGTTTACGATAATTTTACCCCATAATCATCACCCCATGAATCCATCTTTGTTTTGCCATGGCAGCTTGTTTTTCCCTGAATCCACAGGCGATGAGCTGGCGACCTGCTGTGCGGTGTACCTGGAAAACCCGGATGGTGACCCCAAGTCACCATGGGTTAACCATGGGTTAACCATGGGTTAACCATCGGTCAACCTATAGTAAGTCATGGAAATGACCATGACTTGAATGATTTGGGGGGTACCCCTATGACTTAGGAAACCTCCATATAAAGCTCCCTTGTCATTTCAAGAAGCAGTTGAATAAGAGTATTGGTTTGCAATAGTTGGTTTGCATTTTCAAATGGTTTTCTTTGTAAATGACAATCCCAATAGCTGGTTTCAATTTACAAAAATGAGTTGCACAAAGAACATACTTTCAATGTGTATGTTTGGTTAGCGGGAAAATGGCACTGCTTTTGATAAACCACTGCGTCAGATTTGTTTGAAAAGTATAGATACACCATTCCAAAACCCATATAATCCCATATATGTTCCCATTAATAGAGCCCAAAAACATCCATAAAACATTCGGAAAAAAAAAAAGTTCTTTTTTCCCAGGGCTCATTCCGTTCGGGGCTAGGTACCTATAGCCTGGGGCTGCCACCCAATCTTCAGCTTCCCAGCCCTCCAAGCTCCCCGCGGCAGAGGCATGGGGAAAATCTGGGAAGACCTGGTGGTCTTGGTGGTGAAGTCACCTTAACCGGTTGCAACCAGCAAGAGTTTTCCATCGTTTTCCTATGATTTTATGTGATGTTGATTGGAGTAAGGATGATGAACCATGGGATTACGATATATCATGCGGTCAAAATATTGTTTGATAATTTAGTTTCATATATATATATAGTTTAATATAGTTTATGTAAGATAGTTTAAGATCGTTGAATATAGTTTAATATCTAATGATGTATTTGCATAATATATATATATATAATATTATATTAAAATTAAATATCTATTGATAGTCCACAAAAATCATTATATATCTATATGAATGCTGCCCATGTAAACCGCGTTTTCGCATTTCCCCCCAAAGTTTCCATTAGCCGCAGGCTTCCCAGCTCACCCTTCCTGGCAGAATTGGGAGGAGCACTGTCGCCGCAGTGGGCAGAGATCGCCAACTCATAATGGAGGTTTGACCATCAAAATCATTGAAAAAATGGAGATTTGAAGATGGCCATGGGTCAAAAACTGCATTCGGAAAGCCTCTCAACCAGACTTTGTTGCGAAGTCAGTGGTGTGAAACCATGGATTTTTGACCCAGAGACCCATATGCAACATTATGCAACCACAAGAAACCATGGATTTTTGGCACTGATCTTCCATTCCAAATCAGCTGGCCAAAGCTATTCCTGTGCCCAGCCTGTGGAACGATCTGAAAAAGCGCTAAAAAGCTGTAGCGAAGTTTGCCCTGCAACATTGGTTAAGATGGCATCCAACATATATTGAGGGATATTGAGCATGTATAATTATATATATACTATACATCCACGCATAAGCTCTCGTTGCACATGTGGTCCTCCGACTGTTGATGATATTCATATTTTATAGCTTCAGCCTATTGCTGTTGCCTAGATATCCCAGCTACACCTCAGGAAGGCTGCCCCTTTGTTGTCTCATATTGCAGCTTCGAATTGACCAACATTGATTGACTGAGAAAGCAATCACCGGAAAGATTCAAACATAAATTCCTAGTGAATGTTTGATAGCTTACTGTTTGATCTTTTGTGGGCTGCTATGCATATTCCTTGGTCGTTCCAGGATTCCAGGACTATGGAAACTGTGATTGAACCAGATAGGTCAATATACGCACTGTCCATGGTTAGGAAAGTGCTGGCAGCCAACAGCTATGGCGGTATCCATATTCCTACAATGAGAAATCAAGGTATTCCCACAACATCCCAGATCCGCAGGGTGCGACAATGAACATGAACCCTGCCAAAATAGAGGGTCGGATGATTGGTTTCCACCAAAATTAGGCTGTTCCCAGGGTCCAGGGTCTATGCCTTAATTTTGGGGGAGGGTAACAAGATGTGAATGAATGGGTTGATGGTGATAATCATATCTATTTGCTAGATCTTGTAATTATATACATCAATCTACCATGTAATCCAAAGATATTAAACTGGCAGCGGAAAATCCAATATTGACATATGCATTGACCCAGTCAACTCTGCATTTCTGTGCCAGCAGGAAGCACATTGCCTCCCTTGTCGCCTGCAGCCTTTCTGCAACATGAGCGCCTGATGACTGGTTTGCTGGTGCTGGTGCCAAACTCAGAATCTCTGTGCCATGGAGAAATCAGGGAATTTACTATGAAAATCCAAGGGAGTCATTGGAGTTTGTAATACGTACTGTACTTGACTATCCCCCTAGTACTAACATAGATCATAGACCCTGGAATTCAATTTTTTTCCCTCCAAAATTGGCTTCTGAGGGGTCTCCGATCAACAAATTAGCATCGGAAAACGGCTGTGACACATCAAACATATGGAAATAGATGGAATTTTGACATAAAAAATGGCCTCTAGAAATAGGATTGTAAGACTTGTCAAATGATGGTCAGCCGATGATATCGGTTCCCAAATTTTCACGAGGCGATTCTCCCGGAACCATCCGGAACCGGATCATGTGCATCTTTAGTCATGTAACATGTTGGATGGAAAACCACCATGAAATTTGGTAAATCATCGAAGCAAACAGGCCATGGCTTCCAGGTTTTCTACGTAAAACGATAACCGTCCGTGGATCGCTTGGTGATCCCATGGATATATTCAGCTAGGGATTTTTCATCACTCGCTTTCTTAAAAGCCATCAGGATCCTGCTGCAGTGGATTCCATATGTCAAGAACGTTGTTCTTGGTCGGGATCCGTAACATCTCCATTTTGTTCAGCTCAAATCAATCGCCAAGCGTGACATGTTTTTGATGCTTTTTGGTTGTCTCAAACTTGGGAAAGCCATGACTTACTGGTGCGTTTTACGTAGGGTTGCTGGACGGGTTGCTGGGGGTTGCTGGGATGATGACATTGATAGTGATTTTGGATCATTCCCTCAAATTCCCTGATGACTGGGATCATTCCCTAAAATTCCCTGCTAATGCTACGCACCAGTAAGATGAGTGCATGGTGTGTATCATCCCATGCCGCCATGCCATGGGGCTTTCCATGTCGATGAAACCTTTATAGGAGTTGGTGGTGGAGATTGCCTACCTGACCCTGCTGTGTCATGCCTCCAGGTGGGATGATTGGATTCAACCCACACAACTCGATGTCACATATTTTTCTCCGGCTAGATCTTTGGTAAACGAACGGGATTTAATGGGTTTTATGGTGGTTTAATGGGATCTGATGGGATTTCAGATTGGATTTACCCGGCCTGGTAAACGTTTACAAAAAACTGTGGAAAGATCCACCATGCTATTAATGGGTAAATCAACTATTTCGACTGGGCCCCAATAGCAAACCGTTAAATTACCAGAGGGTATACTCTAGCTGCATCATGCTCAACAATTACAGTTGTGGATTGTGATCGTGTTTGAGAAACCCGACCTGTGCCTACATAATCGCCACATATCTAAAAGATCCAAATTTGGATATGGGCTGAAATGGGTCACAATTGACACCTCAAAATGAATGGATATTTTATGCATTATAAATTATAATTATAATATATTAAAATGATGGCCCTGATGGCCATGGCCCAAAATTTTTGTGGGCCCCAGTGCCGAGCGAGGCATTCGATTCATGAGGTTGCAATGGCCTATGAGGCGACTGCTCTCGGTTGGTTTTTTGAGTTTTGGTATGGGAGATGGGAGATGGCAGGATGCAAAACATGTTGCCTTGGATTTTTTTGATGTGTTTTATAAACAGAATATCTATGAAATTATATCAAAATATGTGTCATGAGTCATGGATGGTGAATCAACGCAGATCCCAATGTCTTCGGCCGTCCTGGGATCCTGTGGGCTTTCTTTTGGGTCAGCGAGGGCCCTCGCTCATCCATTCAGTTGCCATTCTGTGAGATTTGCTGCTGAGAACATCCATAAAACATATAACAACTTGGTAAACATACAAAAAAACATGGAAAGATCCACCATTTTTTATGGGGTAATTCAACTATTTCTATGGCCATTTTCAATAGCAAACTGTTTAATTACCAGAGGGTGACAACTTGATTCTATCATCATCTCGAAACCACCCAGTTATATTGGAGTTCCGTAAGCACCGACCATTGCTCCCCAAACGGCACCTGCTCAGGCCCTGCCCTTAGAGTCACTCTGGAGCTTGTCGGGGGTCCTGGAAGTGTCCGGCAAAATTTGCTGATATCAGGGGGAACATCATGGGAAATATATCTATGAATATCTATGGGAATATCTATCCATTTACTTCAATAATCTATTGTAATATGTATAATCCCTTTGAATATCACAATATTTTTGAGTAATCTACTGTATTGTAATCCCATATCCATTATTGTGATAATCTCTATATGGAGCTTTCCTCATAAGGTACCCCCAGTTATCATCCAGCCCTCCTGGATGCCCATGACTTAGGAAACCTCCAACGGTCAGGAATCACATGGGTCGCACCCGAGTCTTTCTGATTGTTGATGTATCTTAAACCTCCACAGAACGTCACGTTGAACAGGGATCACTGGCCGAGGGCGTAACTATTGCAATTAACAAAATGGGGATGATGTCCAATGGGTTCTTGGATTTGGTGGGATTTAGAACCAAGAACTTGTGAATTGGGATCAGTTTCAACTGACGTTCGTTGGCTTTGTTTTTATTCGTAGGCGTTCATAACCCGGAACCAAATTAGGCATTGTCATTGATTTATCCCCGGAAATTTTCCTGGTCACATCTTCATTTCAGTCTTTCTGGCCTATACATGCCTATAAGACCATGTGAACATCTACAGGAAACGCCTTTCCGATGCCTTTCCCAAGAAGATCTGCAGGTTCTCCGGTCAATTTCCCAACAAAATGCTGGATGATCTTGTGTGCCTATGAGCTCCTAATTTCACGGAAAAATCTGCAGTTGAAGGCTTATATATATAAATACATCATGTATACATAATATATATGTATATGCATAATATAATATATATTTATATATTACATATATTGCATATATATATATTACATATATTACATACATACATACATACATACATACATACATACATATATATATATATGAATAATATGAACATTAACATAAGATTACTTTGGAAAACCATGGTTTCCCTTGATTTTCCCTTGGTCCAATGGATAAACCTCCGAGGTTTTGGGTGCAACTTTGCTTGCAGATAGGCTACCTGAAGCTCTACTTCTGCGGGGATGCCAAGACGCGCCCTCCCTTTTTTGGAGAGGTTCAAAAGGTTCAGGAAATATGGGGGATATGATGGGATATGCTATGTCAGTTACGTGCTTCAAACTTGAGATAGAAACATGTTGGAGTTCGCATTTCTTGTGTGGATTTCACTGGCAAATCTTTTGGGCTGACTAGCACATTGTATGATTTCCCCAGAGATTTTAGCAAGAAAAACCGGCACGGAACCATGGGAATGCCTCAGCATAGCCATGTAGTCGGCGGTTGAGAATGCGAAATCCATCACCAGTTGGTAGATAAACATCCTGTTATAATGCCCCCCAAGAGTGATTTGGACTCCAACTAGTATGATATGATATGTTATGATATGATATGATAATCCTATGATATCCTATATCCATCTATATCCTATGGTAAATCACCACTATCATAATCCTAGGATTTACCAGCACCCTGCGCTGGTGAGATGAAGACCTACCCTCTGCTCGCCTCACAGATGGCCTCGAAATTCATGGTTAAATCCCCTAAAAAAAGCAGTGGCTTTAGATGGGTTTTAGTATATCTTACCCTCTGGTTATGACTAACAGTTTGTGGAAAATCCAGCCATTTTTAAGAACGGTAAACCATCTGTTTCGATTAGAGCCATCTATCCCATGGGCTATAGTCATAACCAGAGGGTGGCCACCCTCGATCTCGGGAGATTCTCCAGCGATTCCGAAGACCGCTTCAGGTGTTGGATTTTCAGCGGTGAGCAAACACAAGCCGCGGATCTATGGTGCCGCAGCGCAGTTGATCCAGATCCAAGGGGCCGGGAGGGGGAAATTCACCGTTGAAGAACTTGAACGTATCTCTCTGGGGATCTCCTGTTCTTTAATAATATATAATATTCAAATAAATATATATATATATAATATATAATATATAATATATAATATATAATATATAATATTTATAATATATATACATAATATATATATACACATAATATATATATACAGAATGTGTATATATATACAGAATGTGTATATATATATTTATATACCTAATATATACCCTCTGCTTGCAGTAGCTTGATTAGAGCGTACCAATTCACTTTCTTGGGTGGCCGTTTATCGCTCCAGCTCAATCAGTTGGTGTTCTGCAATGGACCAGTGGCATTTGGTAGTGGGTGGCATTTCTTTTGCGGCTGGATACTGGTTTCGATCTGGTTTGGATAAGCCCTCAGAGCCTCAAGCTTGCCACTGCCAGTGCCAGTGGACCGGGCCACCGCCCATTGCTGCCGCGTCTCAGGGGACTGGCAATTTCATTTGGGTTGTGATCACGGTTTTAGTGGTTTGTGGTATCCTGGTGTTGAGTAACGTGGCTTTGGTTTGCAAAGTGAGTTTCAAAGACTCATCTACTGGGACTGATCGTGAATTGCAGTTCAACGTCAAGGGCAAATCCAAGGGCGTGTACGGAGCCAGCAGGGGTCTGGCCATCACTGGTTAGGCTTCTAGTCTACATTCCTTATGGCTTTTCAGCCGGGTCAGATTTGCTACATAGCATACGGTGAAGTACCACGTCTACTACATACGAGGCTAGTGCTTGGTCACATCCAAGGGTATGAATACCTCATTAGGACTCCAGATGGGGATAAGTACATCGAAGAATTGGATGTCTCCAATGTTGATGCATCGGAATTTCATGTGGGGCCGGATGATGGCAGTCTTCCTGCTGCCATTATAGGGGTTGCTGTTTATGGCTTCCGGCCTATGACGGTGGCTGAGCTCAATGCCATTCTTGCAGCTGGCAGAGTGGAAGCTGCAAATGAGAGGAGACGCCGTGGGATTGCTGGGGCGGTGGATGTTGCCGCACCACAGCAACTGGTTTGGGTCCTTGCGGAATGGATTTCTGGTAAGAAGATCGGTGAACAAGTTAATCCCCCGGTTGGTTTCGTCAGAGATGGTGTCTATGGGCTCATGCAAATGGAGGATGTAGATGGTATCACTCGTCCGGTTCTCATTCACCAGTGCCGAGTTGATGAGGTTGCTGGTTTTTGTGCTAAGCGTATTGAGTCTGCCCGTAAGAGTGAAGCACTGGAAGGAGATGATTTGTATGCTAGTGAGGATGTTCGTACACTGGAGGTGAGATTCGGTGTAAATGGGGACCGTCATCGACCATTTCGCGAAACCATTTTGGAGATGCAGCAGGTAGAGTTCGATGACTTTTCTCTTGAACCACGTACCACGTTAGCATACTTGAAAGCGGTTGCGCATGTTTCAGAATCGGCATTTGGACAACATTTGAGTTGGGTGCAGCAATCGAAGATTCCCGATGGTGACAGAGCCATCCATGAGGATGAGGTGATTGCTCGGGCCATTGACCTTGCTGTGTCCTATGATGCCTTAAACATTAGCAATTTAGCCTCTTTCGAGCTGCTCATTCGTAGGCGACAACTTTTGGCTGATGCACATACATACAACCCCAGTGCTCCATCATATGAAGGATCGGACCATTTCATGGGGACTACCTACCGCCCAGGTGGAGCAATAGTGGTGCCTGAGTTGATGAAGCACGTGTCGGAGCGAATGCATCAGGAGTCACAGGTCATGAAGGAGCGCCGGAAGCAAGCAGAGCTGAAAGGCAAAGGCCGAGGTGGAGGACCAAAACAACCTTTCAACTCCCCTAAGCCCGAGCCAAAGGGCGGGGGGGCGGCTGGCAAGTAGGTCTGCTCGTTGGGTGCCTTTTTCTTCCTGGTTGGAAGGCAACCCTTTTCTGCATACAACTGGGGAATTCAATATGGGCCGGAAGTGGCGCAGTTGTATTTTTCATGAGCCTGCTGATGATGGTAGACAGAGAAGTTTGTTTCCATTGCCCAACTTGAAGGGTTGCGGTGAGATTGGCAAGGCTGTTTCATCCTCCGTTTTGAGGAGGTTGTATCGTCGTGAGCACATCAGACAACGTGTGAACATGGCCATCGATGCAATGAATTCACTTTACTATGGGAAGAGTGTGCCCAAGGTTTTTGAGGTTGAGGATCTCTCCACCCTGAGCCTAGGACAACGAGAGTGCATCCGCAGTGTTGTGCAGAAAGTCACTGTTTTTGGTGCGCCTCCTCTTTCAGCAAGCCGTCAGGGAGCCCTTAAGGCGCTCCGGACAACCAGCGGAGGGTACACAGAGCCTGAAGCTGGTGTGGGAGATGTTGTTGATTTAGATCTCGGTAGTTTGTCACTTCCTACTGGACAGGTAGCAGGGGTTTCGTTGGTTGAGTCTTTGGATGGGGTACTTGGTAATATGGTCAAAGACTTCGAGCAGTGGATGCTACAAGATGCTGACGTTTGGTCCTCTATTTGTGATGATGCCTACAAAATTAAGCCCTACAATGACCCATCTCTGTCCAATCGCGATAAATATATAGCCTTTTTGCAGCATCTCCATGGGTGCGGTATTTTGGGTACTACTAGTTGCTGCCGTGGCAGAGTGGGGGCCTTTTGCGTTTCCAAAAAACCCAAAGTTGTAGATGGTAGGGTCAGGCAGCGGCAAAGGCTTATTTTGGACTGTCGGCAAGTTAACTTGCAGTTTCGAGAGCCGCCACATTGTGAGCTAGGTGCTCTTTCGGCTGTGGGAGAACTGGTCCTTGAAGATAACCAGATCCTGTATGCCAGTGGTTCCGATATCCAGGACTGTTTCTATGCGGCGCGTATTTCGGATGAGCTCTCCAACTTCTTTTGTCTGCTTTCTGATCTTAGTCCTCAAGAGGCTCAACTGATCTTTGGCCCTTCCTCCAGCTTTGGTAGCACATCACGTATATCACCATGCATTACGGTTCTTCCCATGGGTTTCTCTTGGAGTTTCTACCTCATTCAGAAGTTGCATGAGCAGTCAGCGCTTCGTTCTCTTGAAGTAGATCGCTCCATGTTGATCCTTGATGGCTATCCAGCACCTCGCTTGGCAGGAGATCAGATTGCGGCTATGCCGTACTGCGACAATGTGCACTCGTTGTCGTTGAGCAGGGAGGCGTGTCAAAAGGGGAAGGATTTGATGTGTGGTGACCTCCAAGATTTGGGTTTTAGTTTGCATGAGGATGTTGATGCTACTGATTTTTTCCAAACCTTAGGAGGTATTATAGATGGTAAAGCAGGTGTAGTTAAACCCACTCCCACAAGAGCGTGGAACATCATTCTGGCCTTTGAGAGCCTTCTGGACTCTCCTGTGGACTGGGTGGTGCTTCGGCAATTGCTTGGACACGCCATGACTATTTGCACATTGAATCGACTTGGCATGAGCGTTTTTAGAGCATTGTACGACTTTGTTGAGGCAGCCCCCAAACCCCGAATGCTGAATGGCAAAGAGAGACAGGAGGTCCTCAATTTTGTTGGATTGGTGCCATTGCTTGTTGGGGAGTTGAGAAGACCATGGAGTACCACTATCACTTGCACTGATGCTAGCCCCCAAGGTTTTGGAGTGTGTCAGCGTAGCCTAGACAAAGACCAAGTGCACAATCTCGGCATGTGGCAGGACCGTTGGAGATTTCGTCATTTGGACCCCTCCGAGTGGCAGCCCAGGATGCGATCTCAAGGACTGGATCCCTTGAGGGATCATGGGACCGCTTGTGCAGTTGCTCGGGAGGAGACAGTTGATGATTTGTATTCATACAACAATTATTTTCCAGAGGTTTCTGCTGATGTAACTGAGCCGCAGCACTGGCGTACAAAGATGATGGGCAAATGGGGCAACTCCAGCGAACACATCACTCAAAAAGAGGGTAGGGCATTGTTTCTGGCTATCAAGAGACTATGTCGTAGCTCGGGTAACCGTGGTTTTCGTCATCTTATCTTGGTTGACAGTTTTGCTCTATGTATGGCTATGTGCAAGGGTCGAGCTAGCAATTTCAAACTTCTCAGGGTGATGCAACAGGTATCTGCTCTTTGTTTGGCTGGTGGCTTTACGGTTCGAACTAGGTGGATAGCGTCGGAGCGCAACGTGGCTGATGGGCCTTCAAGGGGTCATATCATCCCGGGTCCTTACAAGACCGCCGGGGGTCAAAGTGCTGACAAGGCCAAAGAGGCAGAGTTTGACCAGTCATGTGCCTCAGCAGCTTCAAGCCTCGACCAGCAGGCGCCTTCTGGCTCCCAGGGGTCAAAGGGATCCACCCAAAGTGTCAATGAAGCGAATGCCAGCAGTGGACAAGAGCTTGGTGAAGCCTGTTACTCAGAGAAGTTTGTGCAAGACCAGAGTGGTCACACCGGAAGCCGAGAGACTGGCAGTGAGCAGCAAGCTGACTGTTTTGGAGAGACGGTCGGTTTCGAAAGCAATAGAGAACCAGTATGCGGGATACTACCAGAAGTACTTGAATTTTTGCCTGGAGCACGGTTTGGATCCTCCTCCAAGTTCCCAGACCGACGATCACTTGGCAGAGTTCATGGACAGCATGTTTTTGGAGGGTCGCGGAGTCAACGAGGGGGAGAAAGTTTTGGCCGCCGTGGAGTTCCACCACTGCGTTCTGAAAGGCCGCATGGCCAGAAGCAGAAAGGCACTTCGAGGTTGGCGAAAGGAGGTTCCACCCCAAAGCCGTATCCCAATTCCTATGATCATTGCCTACGGCCTGGCCATGGTTCTGTTGTCCAGGAAAAAGTTCAACATGGCGTTGAAAGCAATTCTGGATTTCGATACCTACATGAGACCAGGAGAGAGCTTAGATCTGCGGAAGAGGAACATAGTGGCGCCCGTGAAGAAAGCTGGTCCCCAATACAAGTGGTTTTCGATAGTGGTTCGAGATTTCGACAACAAGAAGCCAGACAAAGTAGGTGTCTTCGACAACAGCATTCCCCTGGACAGCAAAAAGCGGATGTGGATTGGGCCCATTCTCCACCAGCTGGCAAAACAGTGTCCAAACAAGGACGACCAGATCTTCGACTTCAACATGGACGAGTTCCGGAAGGAGTTCACAGCTGCTGGCAGCCTTTTGGGGATCAACAATCTGCACCCGTATCAGCTGAGGCATGGGGGAGCTGCGGAGGATTTGAACAGTCGATCCAGAGATCACCAAGGGGTGAAGTTCCGAGGCAGATGGAACACCGATGTGTCAGTTCGTCGATACACAAAGGTGGGAAAGGTTCAGCAACTCATGAACCTTCTCTCGCCAAAAAGCATGGCGTACTGTCACTGGTCAGTTCGAAATCTCGAGAAAGTGTTCCAGGGCCTCACCCCACCAAAGCATCTCTGATTCCTAGCTTGGAGATTGACGTTTTAGAGTCCACTTGCTTGCCTCATCGTTTTGCCCTTGAGGTGTTTGCCGGTACAGCTCGTGTCACATGGTGTTTGCAGCAGAAGGGCATTAAAGCTTTCCCTGTTGACATTTGTATGTTTGATGGCCATGATGTTTTGAATCCCAAGGTGGAGCATAGACTTTTCAATTGGATTCGTTCTAATAGGATCAGCTTTGATGGTGTGGTATGCCCTGCACTACTTTCTCCAAAGCACGTAAGTGGGATGGTTTGGGCCCGGGGCCTTTGCGAAGTGAAACTGAGCTCTGGGGCATCACCGGCCTTTCCCGCACAGACCAAAAGAAAGTTGATGCTGGCAATCGTTTGCTTTGGTTTTCTCTTCGACTGCTGAAACTTTGTGAGCGCTTTAGGGTCCCGTATGTCTTGGAGAACCCACATAGCAGTATGGCTTGGTCTATGCCCCCCATGAAGAACTTCATCCATCGATACAACCCAGGTATTCTTACTTTGGATTTTTGTCAATTTGGCGAAGCATGGAAGAAACCTACGACACTTATGTACCACTACGTAGACATAGGCATGCTGGCTTTGCGATGTATTCCAACTGGTAACAAGTGTTCTCGGTCAAAGCGGCCACATATCCACCTGGCAGGACGAGACGAAACTGGAGTCTTCAGAACGCTTCGTGCTCAACCTTATCCATGGGAACTCGCCGATAAAGTTGCGACTTGTGTGGCCCAGATCCTTGGGTAAGGGATAGGGGTGTCATTAGTGATAATTGTAAAGGTTTCAACTGCCGGGATCGATCCATCTTTTAAGATGTATACTCCACTTTGCTGAGAACATTTCAAACAAGTTGGAGCAAAGCTCCAGTCTGGCCACTTGGAACAAAAGTGGGATTGCAGCGGGATCATATATATATATATATGTACATAATATATATATATATAATAATAATAGTAATAATAGTAATAATACAGATTATATATATATATATATATTACTGTAGTTATATATATACATATTCAATTTAGATAGAGTTTTGCCTGGGTTGTTACATATTACAACTGATAGCGTCTTATTGCCGTGCTTATCAACGACTCAACTGGGATGCACATCCTGTCCACCCTGTCCTTGAATCATCTAACTGGGACCTCATTCTTCAGCTTCCATGATAGATCTACGATCTAGGGTATGTGTGTATATTATATACTGTATAATCGTACTGTATATCGTATATATATATATATATCATCCAGAAATGGGAAGATCTCATCAACAGTTGGGGAACAAAAACAGCCACTTCAACATTTTGGGTGTCACCCTATGTTTCCTGGGCCCGAGGATTCTTTTCCAACGTGGCCTTAGGCGGCATCGTCATTCAGGTGCGAGATATCATTGAATGGACAAGATGTGCAATGGTCAACAGACAAATATTCCATATCTGGATGAAATTGATGATTTTGATGTACTTTGATCACAAACTCACTGCTGTATTTTTTGTATATGTTTGTGCTTGCATGTGGTTACTATATATAGGAAAACATCCCAAAAAATGACCCTTGATTTTTTCCCCTCAGCTCCATGTATGGTAATTATATTTAGAGACATGTATCCAAAACAACTAACAGGCCTCAATGCAGGTAAACATACTTACAATAAATGGAGTGTATCGGTACCCGGGTATACCTTTTTGGCAATCAGTCATGTGGCTGGAAAGTCGTTCTATTGGGAAAGTATCTACTACGGGGCTGCTCAAGATGTGGAAGCTAAGAATTGGGCGTTTGCTGGATGTTGTGTTTATTATCCAAAGCTATGCATTTTGCTGGATTAAACAAAAATGGGACCATCAAGAACACGGCATGGTGGCATGTTGAAGGTGAGCTATTAATGTGTTTCCCTTTTGTGACGGAAAATGTCAGTGTCTTTGACAGTTTCAACCAGGGTTTGATAGACTGTGGCGTCCTTCGGAACGAGAAATGGCGGTGTTTCACGATCAAATATGAAGATAGACCACACATGGGTGGGTCTGTGAGGAGCAATCAAGGCGAAATCAAGCGACATCTATTTGTTTTGCTAACTTTCAACCAACGTAGTCTGTATTGTGCTATGTAAACCCAATAACAAACCCCATTTAGGTGGTATGGTTTATTAAAATGGTAAGACTCGGTAAATGGATAAATGGATGGTGTTTATTATTGAACCTACCAGATTACATTGATTTACATTGTATCGCTGCATTTGACAAACTGTTCTTAGCATTCTGTTTAACATGGCACCGATGTTTCTAGCTGCGATTATCATGGTCAAAATCATCTTCCAGAGACTGACGAAAAGTCTCCAAAGAACATGACATATCATGACATATCACCATCCCGCTGAGCGGCTTGGATGGTGTGAAGACAAAGAAATGACCACAGACATGACATGCTTGAACTATCAATCAATGGGATATATATATATATATACATATCTGGTTGGTGATCTGGAACATGTTAAAATTTTCCCCAATAGTTGGGATGATGATCCAATCCGACTCATATTTTTCAGAAGGGTAGGTATACCACCAACCAGTCATGACATGTACAGGTCCTATTCTCTTATATGAACAAGTCAAACATCTTCGTCTTTGCGCTGCGACTCTTTTGCTACGTCTACGCGAGGTGGGTACCGTGAAAGCTACCGTGGGTGCAATGGGGCATCCGGGACAGGAGACATTGGTGCCTAGCCAGTATGGTTCAAAATTGGGTAGCCATATGATATACTGGGCATATATTGGTTTTACACATATCATATATATATACACACTATAATGATAGGTCTGATAGGTATATTAACCAACAAATCGATGTATGCATAATTTAAGTTACATAACTATGGACCCCATCCACGCTATGAACTCAGTGGGCCATGGCTTCCAGTTCACCCAATCTCCGCCCATCACCAGGTCCACATTAATATAATGTCTGGAAATTGTAATTATGATATATATATATATATGTATCTAAAAATCACTAGCTTGCTGCAAATCAAAAAACATGTATTTCATTTTGGGTCGCCACAAATACATCGAGTTGTATAGCTAGGGGTTAGTGGCTAGCACAAAGGACTTAGGAACGGTTTACTCTGCTGTTGGATCTGGAAGTTTGTCTTGCCGGGGATCTACAGGATGTTATAGGGGATGAGATGCAGTTGCTTGTGGTCAAATGAAATGTGCTCAAGCTGGTAATCAAAGACAGCAATGGAAAAATGTTCCATTTGTGGATGATTGGTTGATTGTCCCATGAAAACCTCCAGAAATCTAGAGATTTTCACCTAGTTTCCTATGATTTTCCCCGTGTCCCAGCTGGATGCCCCAAAAATTTTGCGCTAGATTTTGGGGGTTTCATTGGGTTTCCACAAATGGGGGTTTATCATGGATGGTTTATCATGGAAAAAATCATAAACATCCTATGACAACGGATGATTTGGAGGTACCCCCATTTCAGAAAACCTCCACATGTATTCTCTTCTATCTTCAATTTTCTATGCAAGTCGGGCAGGATTGTGTGGGTTTGAAGAAATGTTGTGAATCTTCAATCATCTTTGGGGTTCCACGATGATCCACGATGATCCACTATATGATTGGATAAGTATGGACATCCACAAGTATAGGACAATGGTATTTAATGATATGAGTATAATATGTAATATAATATACAATATGTAATATATCATATATTATATATAATATATGATATATAATATATAATATATAACATATAATATACAATATATAACATATAATATACAATATACAATATACAATATATGATATATAATATATGATATATGATATATGATATATGATATATATATATATATATCACTATAAATAATAATATATATATATATATAATGACATCACTTGATGTGTTTTACCCGTCAACTGTCACGGCTGGAGGTTCTTACGCAGTGCTCTCCTGCAACTGGCACTGCAACCCCAGCCGGATCTGGATGTTTGAACGCGACAACGCTGATTGATCTGCAAATATTGGAATAAATCATAATTATCAATATAAATAATTATACTGATTGGTGGTTTGGAACATTTTTTATTTTTCCATATATTGGGAATAATAATTTCAATTGACTAATATTTTTCAATAGGTAAATCACCATCTTTAATAGGTAAATCAATTATAAATGTACTATTTTCAATAGCTATGTTAGTTCACCAGAGGGTAAATGATGATTATTAATATAAATAATTATAAATCTGCATAAATATATAAATTATCAAAAATTGATTTTAAATCTATTATTCTAATTGGATCTATAGCCTTCGGAGGACTAAAATAGGAACAAACTAACATATTATAAATAAAATTAAATGTTCAGGCAGATGTTGAAGACGGTACCGGTGGTATAAAATAGAGTTGTCCCCTTGTTAAAAACAGTCAGGTGAAGACGGTACCTTTAGCGTTTAGTACATGTTTCACAAACATTGGATTATACATGCCAGACCTTGGATCATCAAAATGGAAAGACATACAATAGGTGGTGAAAGGTGTGCTTGTTTAATTCCCAAAAGGTTTGCCAAGCCGGAGTTCCGTTGGGAGAAAGAATTAGTAGCTGAGATATTCTCATGTTTTGGCTGCTCATTGTTTTCACAACAAGTGCCAACTCAAATGGAGCAATCCCGCCGTAAAAGCTCATGACGAGCTCCTGGGCAAACCATATAAACTGACTTTATATAGACATAGCGGACCTCGTATAAATGCATCCTTTACACCACAATTTTGGATATGCAACCCTTCTGTCTAAACCTGACTTGTAAATCCGGAATTCCAGTCTGAATTAAAACACGCTGCAACTGAGATTCTGGCAGTAGCCTTGAGAAGCGGAGTTCACATGGTAATTTGCTCAAGTGGTTTGGGCAGGTCTGAAGTATGAACAAAAATTAGCGTGCTGTGGTAGCGGTGAAAGAGCAACCAAATATATTTAGTAATTTGGGCACTGGTATTCTATTGGAAAAAGGTTTCTAACCGTAAGCACTAAAAATAGTTCTATATAGGAACACATATTTTAGAATTATTGGTTTTAGTCCTTTGCCACACTTGACTTTGCTATTACGGCTCCACAGCGGCAAGCGACCTTGGCACAGATCAGACACAAATCAGCCACCAAATGGCAGCGGCTGCCACGGCCTACGCCCGTTACAAAGAAACAAACAAAACACAGCCCAGGCATACCAAACACAAGGCGTATTAATCATCCCCATGGTTGTAGAATCCACCGGCTGTTGGGACCCTGAGGCCCACAAAATCCCCAAGCATATCGCCTATGCATCTGCCGTTCGCTTGGGTAGGGATCCTGCTGAGATGTTGGCCCTATTCCTTTAGGAATTTAGTCTTACTATTCATACATGGCGGACCAGAGCCGCTTTAAGGAGGCGGTACGAAACCATAACCTAATTATATATTCCTTTTATTTGCTTCCTCTTTTTAAATTTACATTCTGAGCGTGGCCTTAACTTTAACTTACTGTCCCTATCCCACTTCCTCGGGAATATGTTTATGCTCCGAGGATATAGGCCTTAGAAGGGTGCGTAATGTATAATTTTTATTTTGGGAAGAATTTTTTTTATTATTGGTGGTTCGGATTTTAGAGATATTTAAATATTATTGAATATCGCGGATTGATTTTTATCCCTTTATTTATGGTATTTTTTAAATATTTATTAAATATATTAGGCGAAATTTATGTTTATAATTATTTTATTATTATATGGTTTTTTATAATATGATATTATTAATTATTATTAATTATATGATATAAATTAATTTAAATATTTTATATTAATATATATTTTAATTATAAAAATATAATTATTTTATTAAAAATATATGTATTTTTTTTATAATTATATTTAATTTTATTAATTAGAAAAAAAAAATATATATATTGAATTATAAATAAGAAATATAAAATATTTATAAATAATTTTTAAAATTTGTTTTGGTTGGAAAAAATTATATAAATGG